TGCTTTGCCTCCCTGCAGCTCTTTCTCCACACTTCTGCCAGGGCGCTGTGGCCTTCACCTTCTCTGGACTTACCACGCACACTGCCTTTCTTCCTGTTAACAGGGATGAAAGGTCCATGCTGCTGCCAGAGGCCCAGGCCCCTGCCATTTGGGTATTAGATCCTGCCCCTTATCATCTACAAGAGACCTTGCCCTCATTGTTATCCTCAGCCTTAGCTGATTGTCATGTGTTCCTTCTCTGCTACAGTGTGTACAGACATGCTCTAGTTTCTCCCACCTGTGAAAGTTCTCTCTAGAGATTCCTTAGCCTCCTCCAGCTACCAGCCCATTTGTCTGCTCCCCTTTACACAAAAAAAAACTTCCCAAAAGTTGTCTGTGGTCACTGTCTCCACTTCCTCCCCCTTCTGCTCTCAGTCCAGCTCCTTGCCCCGCCGCACTGGAACTGTTGTTAAGGTTGCCAGTGCCCTCCTTGTTGCCAGATCTTACTTTATCCTCTGTTACTTGCCCTTCCAGCAACATTTGGCACAATGGAGCTCCCCCACAACCACCACCACCTCTTGAAACACTGTGGCTTCCAAGATACCTTCCACCTCACGAGCCATTTTCCCTGTCTCCTGTGCTAGCCCCTGCCCTGGCCAGCCTCTAAACATCAGTGTCCAGTAGCTCCTACTTAGACTCTTCTGTCCTCCCTCTGTCTTCAGCCCCTTGGCTGTTTCATCCAGTCCCTGCCGTGTTACAGCAAACAGTATGATCTGATGCCATCCAGATACATAGCTCCAGTCCTGACCTTCAGATTGGCGTCTCAGCTTTGTATTGTGCACCCTCACACATTCTCACAGGCGTGTCAGACGACCCATGTCCAAACTAGAGCACTTGATTTCAATTTATTCCCAACTTGCTCCTCCCTTGGTCTTCCCCATTTCATAAATGCCGCCATCATCCCATCCTTCCACTTCAAACCAAAAACTCTGGTGAGAATCCTCTTGGATTCTCTCATTTCCCTTCATTCCCGTCATCTGATGCATGCAAGTCCTGCTGGTCAGCACTGCCGCTGAACACGGCCTGCCTCCTTTCATCTGTCCACATCCAATCAACTGTTGCCTAGTGTTTTAAGAGTTTCGTGTCTAGTCTCCGGCCTCTTCCTTATTCCCTCTGGAATCTTTTCTCCACACAGCAGCCAGAGATATTTTTTAAATGTGAGTCAGATCATGCTAATTCCTTATTTAAAACCCTTCAGTGGCTTCTGTTGAAGAAGGTTTACATGACGTAGCCTCACCGACCTCACTGACCTCATCTTGAACCACCGCAGTTGCCCATCCCATCCATCCCCACTGCACTCCAGCCCTGCCAGCCTTCGTATTCCTTCAGCACATGGGCCTGTTCCTGCCTAGGGCCTTTATTCTAGCTTTACCCAGGAAACTCCTTCCCCAGGTCCTTGTATTGCTGGCTGTTTGTTGCTATCCAGGGTTTCAACCCAAACTTAATTCAGAGCAGCTTCTCCAAATGTCTTCATTCCCACCACCCAGTTACTCTCTGAAATTATCCTATTTTTCTTCTTTGTAGCACCTCTTGCAAAATGAGATTGTATTGACTACTGTCTTGTTTTATCAGTCTTCACAAAAAGAATGTAAATTCTGAAAGTAGAGACCTCCTTTATCTTGGTCATTGCTGCGTCCTCGTACCTGTAACAGTGCCTAATGCATTGTAGGTGTTTAGTGAGTATTTACTGAATGCAATCTGATCACATCACTTCTACCATTTTATTTCAGTGGGTCTTTTTTTTTTTTGGACAGTCTCACTCTATTGTCCAGGCTGGAGTGCAGTGGCACAATCTCGGCTCACTGAAACCTCTACCTCCTGGGTTCAAGCAATTCTCCTGCCTCGGCCTCCCGAATAGCTGGACTACAGGCGCACACCACCACGCCGGACTAAGTTTTGTATTTTTTGTAGAGACGGGGCTTCGCCATGTTGGCCAGGCTTGTCTCAAACTCCTGACCTCAAGTGATCCACCTGCCTTGGCCTCCTGAAGTGCTTGGATCTCAGGTGTGAGTCACAGCACCCAGCCTAATGAATTTTAATTTCCTTGATTTCCATGTTTTATGCCACATTATAAGTTTTCCTTTTTAATGATTAACACAAGTGGCTCTTTTACATTACATCAAAAATTATGTATAAGATGCTACTTTCAAAGAACAAAAATGTGATTGGTGTTATTTAATAGAAGAGCTTACCAATTCATTTTATATTTAAATACCATAAACAGGAAGTTATCCCCGTGTTGTTCTTTGGATTGATGTTTTGCCTTTATTCTATTCTTTGTGGGCCTCTGTTGGTCCTTCCTCCAGCCTTCCCAATGTTATCAACAAAGGAAAATATTTTCATGTGCTGGGATTTGCAAAGACTCCCATGTTAGAATTACTGAGCAATAGAATTAGAGCCCACTAATTTATTTTAAAACTACAATTTGTATTTTATGACTTTTCAAATCACGAAGACGGCTTTCAAAACAATTGTGTTTATATAATGTTCCCCTTGCATGCTGGTGAGTTCATGGCTTATTTCAGATCAACTTATAATAATTAACACTGCTTTCATTGTATCCCTTTTTAAAGTATTCCAAAGAACAAAACATTTTTAAATAACTTTAAAGGATAAAAATAGTCTCTCTACCACTGCAGATTTGTTTCACTGCATTTCTAGCACTGTAGGTTTTTTTTTTTTTTTTTTTTTTTTTTTTTAACTTGGTAAAGGTGGATATGGGCTTTGAAAATAGCCACAAAATGTTTTAGCTTAGCCAAAGCTTTACTTGAAATTATGCATCAACTTTCTGAAGATGCCCCAGTGAGTGCCACCTACCCATTTTACTTACCTGGATTTTTGGAACTCTTTCTAGGTGGGGTCTGTAGCCCCGCCTTTCTGTCTCTGTCACCTTTTAGGCCACTCTCCAGCCTTACTCAGCTCTACAATCACTCGTTCTTTTCTACTACATTTACCAAATCCCTGTTCATGTGCCCAGCTCTGTTCTGGAGGACAGGGATACGCTGGTAAACAAAAGGTGATCCTTCTTGCAGCTACACATGCATAAGTATTTTACATTTAATTGTGTGTGATAAATCCTATAGTGGAGAGGTACAAAGTGCAGTGGTGGCATAGGCTTTTAGAAAGTCAGTTCTGCTTAGGGGATTGGCAAAGACTGGCAAGAGAATGGAGTGTCAGAACTAGACTCCCAGGCAGGAAAAGGAGGATTTGAGAGCTGGGTGTGAATCCAGGTGAAAGGAATAATGACTTAGTTGCAGCCATTCTTGGCCCAGGGGCTTGTTGGTTGTTTTCATTTCCTGTTTCCTCCCTCCTAAGCGGCATAACCGAAAGTACTGAGGTGTAATCGTCCATTACCTATATTACTGTACTGCATTTTGAATAGATGATTTGAGTCAGGTTTTCAATTCAGAAGGAATAATGAGCCACCTAAGATAGGAAGTCACTAGGGAGCTGGCTAGCTATATTTGGCTTGCCACATCTTTCAGTAGACCTAAATCTTCTCTGGAGGTCACATACATCTCTTCATCTTTGTTAGTGCTTTCCTTTTTTATCTCAAGACTTATTGTCAATAAAAAAGCTGCGTTGTTTGGTGTGTTTTTATTTTGAACAGTTTTCCCCCCCTTAAGATTGACTTAGTTGTGGCTAAGGGGAGAAACTGAAGAGGCAGCTATTATGGAGATTGTAGTTCTGAAGAGGTTCAAACTCTAGAAAGAAAATGACTGTAGAAAGTAGCCATCCAGCAAAGAGGCTTTATGTCCTTGAATTTCATTTTCAAGAACACTTATCTTGGAAAATGACTTGACTGGTGAAAGGAATCATTATAGGTGGATGGTGGGAACAGGCACCAGGTTAAAACATTTCAAGTTATGACTGAGATAAAAGAAATGACAGCTATCAAAAGTTGTTGCTTTTAAAGGGTTTCTCTAAAACATTGGCCACCATTAAATAAAGATGACCCTTTTAAAACTGCAGTTTTTAATTTGGCAAATGTTAACCATAAATCTGACTAGCAGTGCTAAGAGAATTCACGTACCTAGTGCTCTTATGATTTGGTATGTCATGGAGTTTGTGGCTCTGTCATCTGAACAGGGTGTCTGATCCCTACTGATAAGGAAAACATGGCCAGCAGGTTGCCCTGAAACAGGATGCCAGGAATTCAGCTGATGGCACACCTTTCCCACCTTCACCAACTCCTTTGCTTATTGTTCCTTTCCTCCTGGGCTGCCTTTTTTCTTCATTTTTTTGAGGCGTGGTGGCTCACACCTGTAATCCCAGCACTTTGGGAGGCCTAGATAGGCAGATCACCTGAGATCAAGAGTTAGAGACCAGCCTGACTAATATGGTGAAACCCCGTCTCTACTAAAAATACAAAAATTAGCCAGGTGTGGTGGTGTGTGCCTGTGGTCCCAGCTACTCAGGAGGCTGAAGCAGGAGAATCGCTTGAACCTGGGAGGTGGAGATCGCAGTGAGCTAAGACCACACCATTGCACTCCAGCCTGGGCAACAGAGCAAGACTCTGTCTAAAAAAAAAAAAAAAAAAAAGATTTTCAATTCCAAATATAAAGTATTCATTTTGTCAGTATTCAATACTCTGAAACAAATCTTTTGCTGATCATGAGGGGCTGCATGTTCTAAGGAGCCCATTCCAGAAGAGCACACTGCTTTTAAATAAGAGAGCGAGGTTTTGAGGAACTGTTACATGGTCAAAATGCTGTATAAGTGAGGAGGAAGTGCCATCGTTTTTATTAGAGCTTTTGTAATTTACTGGGCTTATTAGGATATGCATTTCATCAGATGTGAAGTTGACACCTCCTCAGAAATGTTAGGGGAATTTAGTTCTTAAGATTGCCCAAAGAAATGCAGAAGTAAGGCATATTGATGCCACATTGTACTAGATAATGTATTTCACTACTTTGGTCAGTAATCTGATTTGTGCATTGGTTAAAATTTGCCATTTTAAGGACATTTGAGAGAGATCTTCATTTTAATTGAGGGTTACATCACCAACTTTCACCTGAGAAGTCATTTTTCTTCGGGACGCACAATCAAAGGCTTTCCTCCATCATGAGAAAGAAGTAGCATTCTTGCCTGGTGAGTTTTTAGTGCTGGAGTGACTCCCAGCCGGCTCCTACCCCACTCAAGCTCCAGCTGACTGTCTCAGTGTGGGTCCTGGCCAGAAGTGGCAGCAAGGCAGTGGGATCTTTTATAAATAGGCCTCCAGCGCAGTACACCAGAAAGCAGGAGCCCACTTCTGGGACACTGGGAGATGGTGCAGGCAGCCACCAGTTTGCAAAGCACGGGGGCCTATCGTTCCCAGCAGGGTCACAGTTCAGAAAATGTAACCTGATTTCCTTGGCATTCATACTAAAAATAGAAAACTAGTAATTCCAGGGATCTGGGTTAGCCTCTTAAGCATGTCAACTATTGATGAAAGTATTCTTAGTAAAACTAACTCCAGAAATCACTTGCTGGAGAAACAGCCCTTCACTGCCCTAGTCTGAGCACCCACAGAAAGCACGTGTTGGAGGCGCTGGCAAGGCCTGCGCAGCCGTGGTAGAGGGCCAGAGGCGGGTCGTGGGCACCCGCCATAGAGGGTTGAAGGTGCTGCCCACGGCTCTTGGAGTCTCAACATTCTGGTCAACGGTTTTTTTCCATTCTCTCCCTCCACTTCCTGAGTGAGCAGCCGTAAGTTGGACAGTGCTTGTTGTGTGGGCCATCCAGAGTGTGAGCTCAGCAGGAGCGAATTTCTTGTGCCTGGGGATGGCCCTGTGACCCCGTCAGGCAGCGCAGATGCCACTCAAGTGCGCCTGGCTCTTCACCACCGTGAGCAAGACGGCGACTGTGAAGAGTGAGCTTATTGAGCGCTTCAGTTCCGAGGAGCTGGTTCATCACAGTAAGGTCACCGTCATAGGAACTGGATCGGTGGGCATGGCCTGCGCTATCAGCATCTTATTAAAAGGCTTGAGTGATGAACTTGCCCTTGTGGATCTTGATGAAGGCAAACTGAAAGGGTGAGACAGTAGATCTTCAACATGGCAGCCCTTTCATGAAAATGCTGAATATTGTTTGTAGCAAAGATTACCTTGTCACAGCAAACTCCAATCTAGTGATTATCACAGCAGGTGCATGCCAAGAAAAGGGAGAAACGCGCCTTAATTTAGTCTGGCAAAATGTGGCCATCTTCAAGTTAATGACTTCTAGTATTGTCCAGTACAGCCCCCTCTGCAAACTGATTATTGTTTCCAATCCAGTGGATATCTTAACGTATGTAGCCTGGAAGTTGAGTGCATTTCCCAGAAACCGTGTTATTGGAAGTGGCTGTAATCTGGATACTGCTCATTTTCGTTTGTTGATTGGACAAAAGCTTGGTATCCATTCTGAAAGCTGCCGTGGATGGATCCTCGGAGAGCATGGAGACTCGTGTTCCTGTGTGGAGTGGAGTGAACATAGCCGGTGTCCCTTTGAAGGATGTGAACTCTGATACAGGAACTGACAAAGATCCTGAGCAATGGAAAAGTGTCCACAAAGAAGTGACTGCTAGTGCCTATGAGATTATCAAAATGAAAGGCTATACTTCTTGGGCCATTGGCCTATATGTAGCTAATTTAACAAAGTATTTTGAAGAATATTAGGAGAACACATCCAGTTTCCACCACAATTAAGGGCCTCTGTGGAATAGATGAAGAAGTATTCCTCAGTATTCCTTGTATCCTGGGAGAGAATGGTATTACCAACATAATAAAGATAAAGCTGACCCCTGAAGAGGAGGCCCATCTGAAAAAGAGTGCAAAAACACTTTGGGAAATTTAGAAGGAGCGTAAGCTTTAAAGTGGTCCAAAACTACCATTCTGAAAGTATTGAAGAGATCATAGATACAGGATTATATATCAAAATTTTTAATAAACTTGAATTCCTAAAAGATGGAAACAGGAAAGTGGGTAGAGTGACTTTCCTATTTATTTAGCATCCAGGGTGCTGGACGAAACTTACTTACAATTCCTAAAGAAGTGTTTTTGGTACCTCTGATGTAGCAGCACTTACCTTGTTATATATATGTAGTTGGCATTCGGTTCCCAAAAAGTAGGATGTAGGTATTATTGTGTTCTGGAAATTCTGATTCTTTTCATTAGATATATGCTATTTCTTTCATTCTTACTGGTTTATACCTATGTTCATGTATATGCTGTAAAAAAAAAAAGTGGTAGCTTCCTCTACGATGTAAAAATAAAAGTATTTACATGCAAGTATTTTTGGCAATGGATCCGTTTTAAGACCGCCTTCATTACTCTGGGATGGCCTTTCAGCTGGGTCTTTAAAAAGACATGAAGTGGGGACTGTAGCTGCATGTTGGTCATGTGTGTACTTGCGCACATGTGTGTATGTGTGCACACCAGTGAGGCAGGATCATTAGGTTAAGATATGAAAATAATGATCTGATGGTAGCTGTTATAAAATGTTTAATGCAGTAATGGAGAAAACTTTTAGAAAGAGGCTTGACAGGCTGGGTGTGGTGGCTCACACCTGTAAACCCAGCACTTTGGGAGGTCGAGGCACGTGGATCACAAGGTCAGGAGTTCAAGACCAGTCTGGCCAAGATGGTGAAACCCTGTCTCTACTAAAAATACAAAAATTAGCCAGGCACGGTGGCACACGCCTGTATTCCTAACTCAGGAGGCTGAGGCAGAAGAATCGCTGACATCCAGGAGGCAGAGGTTACAGTGAGCCAAGATAGCACCACTGGACTCTAGCCTGGGTGACAGAGTGAGACTCTGTCTCAAAAAAAAAAAAGAGGCTTGGCAGTCAGAGGTGTGGTATATACTGTCGTTTGGCAGGGAGGAAACTTCCCTAAATTTTGCAGTTACTAAAAATAAAAGCCTGACTGAGTGAAATTCATTTTAGAATTGCCCCTGAGAACCTGACCTTTTAGCACATTAAATCAAGAAGCATGTCAGAAATCATTCGTACTAGGCTGGATCTTAGCCTCAAAGTGGTCCTGGTTCTAAGAAGCTCCTGGGTTATTCCTCCTGTTCAGTTTATTTCATGTTTCCAGAAAGATTTTGCTTTTGAATTGTGCCTTTTTTACTATGATTAAAAATTGATCATTTTGATGCATACTTCAGGATCGTATTTCTCAGAAAGTTACAAGTTTGCTTTGATTTCTAAATCAACTTCACTACAGATTCTGGCCTTTATGTATGTCATACAGTGAAAGTTGGGGAGGAAGTAAAAATGTCTGTCTGACATTTACCTAAATGAAAGTATTAGTAGCTTAGAAAATGGAAAGCTGAGATGTAAAAATTTGCATTAGCTTTCCTAATGCAGTTGAGTATTAAATAAATAATATGATATATTCAAACACATTTTGTCTCAGGATCCAGTTTGGATAGCAACAAAACTAGTCAAAATTGAAAGATGTCTGTATTTGCCCTCTAAACCAGACCAGTCCTGCTTAGTTCAATTTTATCAAACAGGACAGTGATCCTCAAAAAAACTGCCCCTTTTCTACACTGACCAGAGCTCCCATACTACTTTATTGAAAACATCTAGAGGTGTTGATTTCTCAGGAAGTGGTGTCATGCAATGGGACTCACTGATGTGCTGAGCTCCTTGAAAGTGGGAAGAGAGGTGGTTCAATTCTAGGCGGTTTTAAGACCTTTGAGAGCTCAGCTGCAGAATACTGCTCCCTCTTATCCAGCCTTTTAGTTGTTATTCGTGTTTCAGCCAAACATAGTGTACCATTACAGGGCATCAGAGCAGGCCTTACGTCTATTTTATAATTCTCTTCACCATCTTCGCCAGCCAGAGTAGGATGGGTTATGCTGTAGTCAAAACTAGTCTCCAAACCTGTGGCTTAAAATAACAAAGGTTTATTTCTCAACTGTGTAAACCCCCCATGGGTTTCAGCAACTCTCGAGGAAAAAGCTGTTCCTCACATGCTGGATCAGCACCTCAGATTACTTTGATCTTTGGCACCACCATAGCAATACAGATTTCCATGACTGCTATGGAAAGAGAGTCGAACCCCTGTGAGTAAGTGCTCAGTCAGGGAGTGACACACATTTTTTGCCCGTATTTCATTGGCCAGAACCAGTCACATGGTTACCGAACTTCAAGGAGGTGGGGAAGTACAACTCCCCCATGTGCAAAAGTAGGTGAGTACTGGCTACATACGAGCATACGCTATTCAAAATGAAATGGTCACCATTAAAAGAGACATCTATGCTTTTTATGTAATTTTTAGGGAAAGCTGGCAGATGGGTAGAAGATACAGAGGTACTTTGTCTTTGTAGGTCCTGGGCATTAGCCAGGCAGCTGTACTCATAAGCCATGTCTCTGTGGGTAAGTTAACCTCTCTGACTTCTGGTTTTTCATATGTAAAGTGGTGGTAATAATTTCTGCCATATAGAATTGTGAAGATTGAATCATAGCCTAATGCTTTGTCCAGTGCCTGACACATAAGTGATCCCAAATGGCAGATATTATTCCTGTTTAAGCAACATTTTACAACCTAGCTATGCTTTTTAATCTCCTGGTACTAGTATTATATAGTCTTAATATGTTGTATTTTATGAAGAATCTGTATTCCCAGATTGTTGAAGATTACCACTGACTCTGTAATTATTGACATTATCCAAAGGTTTTTTGTCAGTGATCCTATAGAGCTTTCATCATTGTCACCCCCAGCATTCAGGGCAGTAACAGTCCTGCACCAACAAGTGAAGAAAGAGAAGGTAAATGAGCCAGACAATGGCAAAAACATTTCAAAACTGAGAACTTCTAATTCCAACAACTGCCTATTTATTCCAATTGATGGTTAAGGATTTTCTGAAATTAATTAAATTGGGGACATAACCTGAAGCTTTTAAGTAATTTTTCAGCACACTGTATGTTAGACCAAATGTTTTCAGATGTTTTTCCCCCTACCAAGACATGCATGGTAAATGTGTAGCAATGTCCCGTGTGCATATTCAAGTAGTAGGCAGAGTGAGCACATGGGCTGTGTGGTCGGATCTGCTCCTACCAGCCATGACACAACACATTGTTTAGTTTCTCTGAGCTTCCATCACCATATCTTTAAAAGAGGGATGATATTTACTCCACTTAGTTGTTGGGAGGGTTAGATGAGAAATTTGTCTGGTATACAGTAAGGACACTCTAAGTGGCATCAGTGGTTGGTCTCACTCCTGGCCTACTGGCTTTATGGCCCTTCAAGAAGCTATTGAAATGTGTACGAGAATAACATTATTAGAGGCATAATCCTAAATCTGTTTTAATATCTAAAAAAGCCATTGTATCTACAGAATGTCCATATTTGTGACAAATTACTTACACTTTCCATTTGTCATGACACTCCATTTGAGCACTACTAGCTGAGACAGTGGTATTTTCTGTGAATATACAACACAGCACTGTGGGCACCAAGGCAATGGGACTCACAGGTGAGGATGGTGGGCCCGTAGCACTAGGAAGTACTATTCGTGTCTTTGTTTTGTTTAGTTTTATTTTGAGATGGAATCTCACTCTGTTGTCTAGACTGGGTGCGGTGGCATCCTCCACTCCCCTCCCCCAGCCTCACCACCCTTCACTCCCCTCCCCTGTCCTCACCATCCTTTTCTCTCCTCCTCCGACCTCACCACCCTCTGTTCCCCTCCCCAGGCCTCGCCTGCATTTCCCAGCCTCTCCCTTCTCAGCAGCTGACCACATTTGGGACCACTGGAAGGGAGACTGGTGAATGATTCTGTTGATGTCTTGGTCATCTGACATCCCATTTGAAAACTGTGTCATCTGGCTTAGTTGTAAAAGATGTTCAACCAGAAGAGTGAAGAGAAAGAACCAGGCAGCACATTGCCAACCCTGGCCAGAGAGATGTCTGTTTCAACTATAAAAGTCTATGCAAAGTTCCTCGGTGCGGGTGATATTAATGTTTTGGACAAAGCAATGAATTCTTTATGGAAGAGGGGGTAGGGAGAGAGACATCCATGAGCTGTCTGTCTTCAACATTAGTGTCTGGGTCCAGAACATTGAGATGGTTGGCACAGATACAGACAACATATAATATGTGAGAAAGACCTTACGTATCTTCCAGTGACAGAATACGTAAACCAAAAAGACCTTACGTATCTTCCAGTGACAGAATACGTAAACCAAAATGATATATGGCTATAAAGTAATGTACTTAACAGACATTCCATAATGTTTATATCCATGTGAGCTTTGTTCCTGGAATATAGCACACTTATTTTGATAATACAGCAGTGATAATAGCTAATGTGTATTGAGCACTTTCCATGTGTTAGATGCTGTGCTTTATATGCGCCGTAATCCTCACAACTCTTTAAGCAGGTAATCACTGTCTCTATTCCACATATGTGGAAACCAGGGCTTAAGAGAGTAAGCAGCTTTCGCAGGTGGTGGAGCTAGGATCTGAGCAGAGTCCATGCTGTGCTACAGTTTGCAGCAGTGCTAGGAGTAAATGCCTAGGATTTACAAGTCCCAAACAAGACGCACCCCTTAATTTGGAAATAAGGTGAAGATTCAGCCTCAAATTGAAATAAATAAGCATCAACGTTAAAGAAATATTAGCTGATTCTCAAAATAACCACTCCAAGAAATGACTCGCATTTTGCAGATGAGTCCAGGGTACTTCACAAACCTGATCAAGGAAATCTCTATCCTTAGGAAAATATGACTGGCAGATGGCTGATTAGAAAAATTTGGAACACAGTGCTGTGGTGGTGCTGAAATACCTTCATAGAAGGACCGTATAGATTAACCAGGAGGAATCAGAGAGTGTGTTACTAGTACTGTCCAGTGTAAAGTTCACCTAACTTCCATAAATTAGTGTTCCCACCTTATGGGGTTGTACACCTTAGGTGGATCCAGGTGCTCCAGGTGAACTGTAATAATACTGTGTTGACACTGTGTGTTAAGATCTCTTAGGCTGGGCACGGTGGTGCACGCCTGTGATCTCAGCACTTTGGGAGGCCAGGGTGGGAAGATTGCTTGAATTCAGGAGTTCGAGACCAGCCTGGGCAACATAGCAAGACTCCATCTGCTCTACCTAAAATGCAAAAATTAGCACATGCCTGGAGTCCCAGCTACTTGGGGGCAGTGAGGGGGGACAACCACTCGAGCCCGGGAGGTGGAGGCCGCAGTGAGCCATGGTGCCACCGCACTCCATCCTGGGCAGCAGATTGAGACCCTGTCTCAAAAACAAAACACCACTATCTGACATCTAAGAACATTCTACTTTATCAACCATTCCTTGATTTATTCTTTACTAAACTACTAAGTTTCTTCTGTCTGCCCTTTCTCTCTTCTCTAAAATTTGAGCTTTGATTGACCTAATTATATTTGTTCAGTTAGAAATCCCATCCTCAACTGCATCTTTATATATGAAAGCCAACAATACGCATTCTTCTCCTGGGAGGGAATAATTATTATGGAGGGTTGACAGTTTAGGACATGTTGCCTTGTAGATTAAGAATAGTTTGTTGTTTTTAAAGAGATAGAGTCTTGCTGTGTTGTCCAGCTTGGCTCAATTGATCTACCCATCTCAGCCTCCCGAGCAGCTGGGACTATAGGTGTGAGCCACCATGTCCAGCTAAGAGTGAAGTTTTATGTTATTTAATAATAAGTTTATACTCAAAGAAAGGAAGTATATTTCATTTTCTTTCAAGGTACCTAGAATATATATAGTCCCTAACTTTTATTGATATTCCCTAGCTCTTTTACCTGTGAGCCGTGAAATACTAGCCAGTCAGCAAAAGTGCCATCTCTANTGGCACTTGCTCCCTTTGGACAAAGTGGAGCTGATAATTTGTTTTCCTTCCCCCATCCAAAATTACTTTTAAGTCATTTAAAATTTATATATCTGGAGAGACGACCTAAGCATGGAGAGAGCGGGCGCTGGGACTGGGCAGCCAGTTTCTCGGCTGGAGGCTCCGGGGTCCACGGATGACCGGCTTTTCCTGGTTAAAGGTGGAATTTTCCTTGGTACTGTTGCTGCAGCGGGAATGCTTGCAGGTTTTATTACAACGTTATCATTGACGAAAAAGAAAAGCCCTGAATGGTTCAATAAGGGAAGTATGGCCACGGCTGCATTACCGGAGAGCCGGTCTTCCCTTGCCTTACGAGCTCTGGGCTGGGGCTCACTGTATGCTTGGTGTGGGGTTGGTGTAATTAGCTTTGCAGTCTGGAAAGCCTTAGGAGTTCACAGTATGAAAGAATTTCGAAGTAAAATGCAATCAGTATTTCCAGCAATTCCTAAGAACTCCGAATCGGCTGTCGAGTGGGAAGAAACATTGAAATCCAAATGAGATGAGCATGAATGAATTTCAAAATGCTTGTTACAGAAAGGGGTGGCTCTGGAGACACCATGACAGCAAAGGGACTGGGACTGATTTCTCCCCAGGAACATGGCAGATCGCAGACTGAACCACGCGCTGGATAGCATTCATCCTCCTCATCACAGGAGAGTATGTGTATGCGTCTTGGGGAGGGTAACGTTTTCTCAAAGTTAAGAAGACTTTACAAATAGTAATTACAGGGATAACTTCCTTATGTGGAGGGGATCCCAGAGGAAATAATTCTGTTTGTAACAGTTGAACAAAGTTTCAGTTGAACGAAGTTTCAGTTCAACCGAGTTTCATACCTAAAAAAAGTTTATAATAAAAGTATGATAAAAAAAATTTGTGAAACAGACTCCCTAATAGCAATTGTACTGCAATGTGTCTAATTAAAGGAGTTTCAAGAGCCTTTCTTGTCAGTATATAACAGAATTTGGAAGTCTTATTCCAATTAGCCAGACTACAAAGTGACAGTCACCTGGTAAGTCCTGTATAGTAGGAGGTGGGTGTGGCTCTCGTGTCCTGAGTGTGGTCTGTGATTTACAGCCAGCACACGCAAGTGAGTTACTTACCTGATGCCCTTGCTTGAAGGCCCTGCAAATTCTTAGACTTAAAAAGCCATTAATGAGTTATGATCACTCCAGGAGGCACAATTGAGCTAAAATAATGATATCAGAGGTAAAAAAATATTTTTTGAGAAGTTGGTCTGGATCTCTGAACATTGACAATTTGTAATTTTGTCTCAGTTGTCAAAGTAAAAAAAAAAAAAAAAAAAAAAGCCCAATTGTCAGCTATCTTCAATATTTTTAACCAGAAAGTCACCTGAGTTCTGAGTCCCAATGTTAAGTGTTTGGTACCACCTCCCTAATGAAGCTGTTGGGGTCAATTCTACGTGCACACCCAACTCGCTCCTGTCTTCCATGATCTCCTACAAAAAACAGACAGAATAATGTCTACATGCAATTATTTTTAGTACAATTGCATTTTTAAATATTTTTAAAAAGAGAAATACTTTAATATGTCAGTATGTCCACAGAAGTAACCTCTAGTTAAGTATTGGTTTTGCAGTTTCTTTTCACTTGCCTAGGCTCTAATTAGTCAGCAATCAGGTTCAATAAAGGACATTTGAAATTTCTGTTATCATGAAACCTTTTATTCTAAGGGAGATTTTTAAATGAAATGTCAAGTACATAATGTAACACTTTTCTCTAGACCATGTTACCCTGTTAAAATTGCTGTATTGTTAATGAAGCAGGTGTCAGCATCTGGGATTCATGTGTAATCTGTTAAAAATCCAAGACTGAAAGGAAAGGACTGGGAAATTGGTTGGTGAATGCGGGGAGCAAAGACTCTTCACCGGCCTTTCATGTTAACTAAATCTCTGAGAAGAGATTTGTAGCCTTTGAATGAGAGGAAGGAAAGGCAAGAGCCAGAGGAACAGGATTTCGTCCGCACAATAAGTGAATCTAGATTCCCCTGAAGAGAATGCACACCACCGGATCCTTTGGTGCTTCCTAACCGTAGGTTTCCAAGCTCGTGTATGAGATGGCCCTCCAGCCTTGTTACAACGGCTGCACTGAATTACCCAACTGATGTGGGGGAAGAAAAGAGTGGGTGCTACCTAACACTGTTACAGCTGGAATCTGGGTGTTACTTTCTGTAGATGGAGAATGCTGAGTGGTTTCTAGACCTCCACTGGGTAGGAAAAAGGAGACTCTCCCGCCTGTCCTGGAGTGTTAAAGGAGAAATCATTGTTAACTGTGGTTCTGTTTCATGGATTCCTGCCTTGTAGCCTCCCTGAGGGTAGGGACCCATCTCAGGGCCTTGTAAACTGATGTCAGCACTGCTGGGGAGGCTGCTGCACATCGGGCTGATGGCAGCTAGGCCCTAGGAAGGAGCCAGGGGCCATGGTGGGGCGCTGCTTTCCCACAGGGCTGGTGCAGAGGACACCTAGACGTGTGTTGCTGAAGGAGTGCCCGAATACTTACTAGAGTGGCATGCCTCGTGTCTACAAAACCCTCATACATCACCTCTGCTGTCCTTGACCCATGGCAGGGGGACTCCCATAAGAATAACGATGAATCCCCTGCAGAGGGGAGGCTGGCAGGGTCCAATTCCCTAGAAGAGGGACCAAGCCCCAGCTCCAATTGCATTTTAAAAGCAAAAGTGAAGTCACAGACAGATGAAAATTAAAAGAGAAAAGCAGCATGACTCAAGTGGTATTCGCCACAGTCAGAACTTGAGTATCAGAGGATTTTGTCATTTGTCTATTCCTTTTGTACCGGAGGCATATTGTTAAATTGGTTAATGGAAAGGAAAAATGTTTAACAGATAATGTTATTCTTTATGAGACGTACCATCTGTGTATTGAGCTCTGAATGTCCCTGGATATGGAAGAGAGGAAATGTGATGGAATTTCAAGTTTGCCTTCTTTGCTGTCTTTATCTTGGGTAGAGTATGACAAACATAATCACATTTATCTCCTAGAGCATAAAGAGTTTTAATCACCCTATTAACCAGGATGACATTTTTCACAGACTTAAAAAGGAATAGAACAGACATTATCTCCCTATAAGCAATCCATTTCATGGAGGCTGAGCACTAGAAATGCTTCAAAGGATGGATAACGCAAGCCATTTCCATTTCCTGCCTAAGCCATCATTAAGGAGGCTTTCGGTAAGGCTGTTGCTTCCACTGGGTGAGTGTTAAGCTTTACAGTTAGAGTCTCAGCACCCAAAAGAGCTATTAGAGAAAGCAGGCAGGAAGGAGTGGCTTCTGAGACCTCGGGAGTCATTCAAGGGAAAACATGTATCCTGGTAAGTTACTGCTGCCCTGTGGAAAGGAATCCATGGGCTGCTGTTATGTTCAGAGTCAAGAGGGTATGGTCTCCGGACAACCTGAGAGTAGAAAGTAGGGGATGGGAGCTGCCTCCCAAGACGGCGGGCAGCCCATCACTAGGAGGACTGCGGTCTAAGGGCGTGGAAGCGAGCGGCTGCTGAGAGGGCCATGGGCCATCCCCACCACCACCCTCCCACCAGGGTACAGGCATAGGCTGGCGTTGAAAAGGACACTTGCCTGCTTAGTCAAAAGGCGGCACTGAATTCATCTCGGCTGTCACACGTTTTGTTTAGTTTCATGGATAGTATGGGACCAAACTTGAAATTAATGATTGCAACCTAACGGGAAAATAGAAGAAATTAAGGTGGGGGCGGGGGAGCCCGTGGGGACAAAAAGTAATTAACATCCATTGAATTCAGCTATTTCACTTGGGGCAATGTTTCATCTCTCCTAGGTTTGGTTTATGGGGAACACTGTATATTTTCATCTCATTTTCATGTATCATCTTTAAGACAAATTGTTAAGTACAAATGAAAATCAGCCAAGTAATATACAAAGGCATTTCATCAAATAGTTAAATTTCCCATGAAAGTTAGTAAAATACATGTTTTTAAAATACCATGTTCAAGTGAAGTGTTTTTCCTTTCTGCCAAGAGTCATTAAATGATACAGCAAGTATTTGGGTCTCTCTTGGTGTTACCAGGATTAATTGCCCAAGGCTGTGATTTTGTGAGCATAGAAGAGGAAAGCAAGCATCTCTCGCAAGCAGTGACATGAATCTGTAATAATGAGTGAGGCCATTAGCAAATTTTGTCTGATGGCAGATAACTCAGTTTTGGAGAAAATTAGAATCGCAGTTACCTGGAAGCACATATAGTTTCAACTTTCCTACCCAATTATTAGTGATTTAGGACCTTGATTTATATTTCTTACATAAGCCGGCTCGAGGCCTTCCTCCTTCATTACTGTTTGATGAGGCACGATCACTTACAAGACCAACTTAAAGGATTCTTCTATTGCTTTAGTTTTGTTTTTCATGAAATCTAGATTTAAAAAAAATTTCATGAAAAGGCAAAAAAAAAAAAAAAAAAAAAAAAAAGAACAATAGTAAAAAATCAGCAGGTGGGTGTATTAAATGTACTTAAAGACCCAAGGGTAAAGGTCGTTCTTAATTGATTCCTAAGAACCTAAATCAGGCAAACTGAGAAAGCTTGGCACGTTCATAACACCAATTACCTGCTTATCTGAAAACGCTCAAAAAATTTACCTTCATGCTGCCTCTGACACCCCAGAGTGGCCTTCCAGGTTTGTAGCCTAATAGGTGACCCTCATCAGGACACCTCCAGATGATGTCTACATTGCCAGCCCTTGCGCATGCACGCCCTGCCTTCAGAGGACAAGTTGGCAAAACTGAGTTTCTAAAAGCTTGAATTTGGTGGTCTGTACAGAGTTGTGCCAAACTGCAGTTTGCCCCTTTGCTCTGCCAAGCTCGGTGATGGTAATGTGTTGATTTTATTGCTGCTGGCTGTCTTCTCCCACTGACCCTGTTGTAGGGGCTGACTCCCCCACCATGTTTCCTACTCTGGAGCAGAGCCTACGTGGCAGACCTCTCCATTCGGAGCCTTTGGGGAGTGTTACCAGGGGGTAGATGTCCCTGCAGCCACCGTCTCCCTGTCTTTCCATCTCCCATCAGGCCACGGTGGCCACAGCTACTCTGATCCTTCCTGTGAAACGTCAGGAAAGAGGTTACACAGCTAAGATCCAGTAAGTAAATCTCATGAAAACTCAAGACCTTTTGTCAGCAGATAAGAAGGACTGAGGAAACCTCTGCGCTCAGCTTGCTTGTGGGCCAGCTCTGGTTCTGTTTTCAAAGACTCATGACAAATGGTGTGGAATCAGCACCTGACCAAGTCTGTCAACTCCCTGTGTCACAGAGATGCTTGGATGTGGCACGAGATACAGTGAGTGACAGGGAGGCTTGGCTCCACAGTGGAGAATGTGTTCAGGAGGGCCGGGTTCAGGTTTATATGGAGTAGAAGGTAAAACCGCACTTCCGCCTGCCAGGGTGTGGCTCTGCAGCAGACCAGCTGCATCCAGGTTCTCCTGTCTTTCCAGGTGTCTCCCACATACAGAGATCTTCCCTGGGAACTGTGAAAATGTAAGGGCTCTGAGTTGGGGTGGAATCCATATTCAATGAAAATGGTTAGCTTTCGCTTCTCGATATTCTAAATGTTACTGAAGGAACCGGGAGTGAAGGGTGGGGTTAGAAAATGCAGGGTCAGGTAAGGCCCTAGAGAAACATCCACAGCCCTGATGGGAAGAGGGCATTCACCTAGGGCTGTTTTTTTGGGTTCAGGACTAAGCCCTTAGCAGACTCAAGAAGGAAGAACGGAAAGGAAGGGACGAGAGGGGAAGGAGGAGCTCCTCCCTGGGAAGAGGACCCAAGCAGGTCCTGGGAGACTGGCATTTGCCTTCACGTCTATGCTGACCACATTTGCCTTCGCCACAAAACTCAAGAAAACTAAAATCACATCAAAATGAAAATGAAAAAGCAGTTTTGGCAGGGGGTGGGGTTGGGGGGTATCCTGGGCTTTTACAGCCATAGGCTGCAAGGTTAGGGGTTTCTAACTCCCAGCCCCATGAGCTGATAAAGATGAAAGGCATCTGGTAAGATCCCATTGCACTCACCAGCTCTGACCTACTGAGCAGAAGAAGGAAATACACAGATCTGCAGGATGATCCGTATAGACACATAATACTCAGTGGCCCTGCATCCAACCGAGGAGAAGGTGGCGGTCTGCTGCACAGAACCAGCCAGCATCCTGCTCGGGCACTGGAGGCACGATGAGGGCCGGGGGGGTGGCATTCTCCCTAAAAGCAAAGGACCTAAAAAAAAAAAAAATCCCTGCACTTCTCCCTTCATTTCAGAAACCTCATTGTCGTCCTATTTGTAGTATCAGTAACACCACCTAGAAGTCAGGCTCTTTCCTCGTCCCTCGGGGTGGAGAGTTTTATTTTGTAGCCAGAGAACCTAAGTCAAAGTTTTACAGAAAGTGCCTAGGATTAGGCAGGGCACACAGAAATATCTTGGGCCTGGATCACCTGGTCACATTCACTGAAGAAACTAGACAGACACCAGCCCACCATCCGCCTCCCAGTGAACCTAACATGCCCTAGAAAGTCCAATAATTCCACCTAATCTACCCAATTTGTGACTTTGATATAAGCTTCAGTATTATATCTTACTTTTTCACTAGTCGCTAAATCATTTTGAGTGGAGTGCCATCACACATTAATTACCTTGCCTGAAAAACCCCAGGGCAGCTGGTTTTCCTGGGCTGTGTCTGCCAGGAGGCAGCGGCTGTTATTAGAAAAGTTCGAGCTGCCAGGTTATATCCCTTCCAGTATCTATGTGTGATGCCCTACTCCGTGCCTGGGCTTTAAGTACAAAAATTAAAAACAGCTCTCTCAAA